CTCCCGGCCCCGCCCCCCCCCAACGCGCCTGTGGCAGACGTCAATGGGCGTCGCCTCCACGGGCGCCGCGCCCTTCCGCACGTCGAACAGCGCCAGCTGGCCGTTGTACTGCCCGGCCCCCACCAGATTCGCGTCCTTCGAATTGAACCGCGCCACCACCAGCTGGCTGATCCCGGCTAGCTCCGCCTCTGGCGCGTTTGGGGACGCGACGTCGAAAACGTAGCTGGAGGTCGCCATGCCCGCGGGCTGCTGCTGGAACCCGAGGATCGAGTAGGCCACGACCGCCTTGGCGGCGCCGTCGGGGTGCCAGCTCACGCAGCTCGCGGCGCGGCGCGGGGCGCCGGGGCCGGCCTTGGGGTCTCGGAAGACGGTCACGGTCGCGGCGGTCGGCGGCTCGGCAGAGTGGTCGGCGGCGTAGTCTGCGGGCGTAAAAAGATTGGTGTGGAGGGATACTGGTGCTGGGCCGCTCAGCTGCGCACCTGGGCGGCCTGGGTGCTGACAACCCGAGTGGGGACTGCGCCATTAGTCGGGCTTGTCAAGGCTGCTGCTGCTGCTGCTGCTGCTGCTGCTGCTGCTGCTGCCGCCGCCGCCGCCGCCGCCGCCGCTGCCGCCACCGCTGCCGCCACCGCCGCTGCTGCTGCTGCCAAGGCCGCTGCCGCTGTTGCTGGCCTCACTGCTCACACCGCTCCTCCACCCAACTCCCCCCTCCCGAGCCTAATCCCGCCGCTCCTGCCCCTGCTCTCGCGCCGCCCCCCCCCTTCTTCTCTTAGTCTGCGTGCCCGCCACGTGTCCGCCCTCCTCTCCCACCCACCCCATGCGGGCCCCCGGCGCACCCGCAAAGTACTCCTCGTAAATATCAACCGAGTTGTTCTGCTTTATTAGGCCCTCCACCGCCGCCCCCAGCGCCGCCAGCGTGCGCACAAACTCCTCGTCCTTCTCCACCTTTTTTCGGTACCTGTTTGAGGGGTGAGTGGACCCCCTGCTTTGCTGTCCTGCGCTTTGCGAACGACACAGCTCTCCTGGGATGGTGTGGCGACGTGCAAGACGCGATGACAACCGCGTTTCGGCCGCTGCTGGCGCGTGCAGGCTGCGCGCACATCTGTGCAAAAGTCCACGCAGAACCGAGAGTGGGCGCCACCGCCATGCAGACTGGCGAGAAGCGAGCGCCTGCGCACGCATGGCCTCTACGACGGACACCGGCGGAGACACCAATGCACCCCCGCGCCTGATTGTGTGCTCCGCCTCTGAGCAGTCCACGTCCTTTGGCCATCCCCCCTCCGCATGACTCATCGCCTTCGATGTGTATATGACCGCGTTGGTGTTCGCCTCGTGCTCTGAGACCTCTGGCACGCACTGCGCCACAGTGGTGGCCGGGTTTTTCGGGACGCATGCGGCCGCATGGTCTGCATTTGGCCGGATGTCTGCGAGCATCTCCGCGCCGCCGTCGGTGAATTTGGCGTGGCGGCCGAACTGGCGCCGGAGGCGCACGTATTGGTAGTAGATCTCCATGGTGGCTGAGTCAGCGGCGCGAAGGGCTGAGTCAGCGGCGCCGCCGGCCGCCTGGGGTTGGGTGCGGATTCAGGCAGCGCATGGGGCGTGGCGTCGCCGCTTCGGCGCGCACTCTTGTGGTACTCACGAGCAAGGCTGGGAGCTGTGGGGGACCCTTCTTGGTGTCAAACATGACATTCTGAACCTGGCAGCTGCATGCGGCCTCTGACGGCGCCTCGCGTGCCCGGCGTTCCAAGCTTTTTGCACGAGCGCGCATCGACCGCCATCACAACGCCGCTGCGGTGGCGACCTGCACTGCAGTTGCGTGCAAGCTTACCTTAATGCACTCAAGATATCTCTATTTAATTTTACAGGTACGGTAGTACGAGCGAAGGGAGAGGACTGAGCGCTATTACGGATCCAGTCCGCGAGATCACCCTCTTTGTATACTCGCCTCTGTCATTAGGTTTCAAGTTTGAATTTCAAATCAATCTTGTTGACGAGTACCGTATGGCAAACAAATGTATTGCTTGGCATGATCTGAGCTCGACAACTTTGACCGGCAAGGCTCAAAGGGTACGGTACCGTAGAACAGCCCAGCGGGGAGCCGAACGAACGGCGTCGTACCCTCAAGATAACATGCGAGCTCAAGTCACACGCGTCACAGCTGTCCGAGGCGGCTGCTGGCCATCCAGCGGTGCTGCAACGCGCATGCACTGCCGGCCGAGCACCATGCATTCCAGCCATGCCTGAGGCCCTGGTTGGTTAGCATCCTGCCACAGTTTAGATATACCTTGCTGCAGTGTGCGCTGCAGTTTTCATTGGATGCGGTGCATTGCGCAACATTACACATTACATGAGCGCATCTCGGACTGCACGGGACGCTGTGTGCGGGCAAGGGAGTTCCCATCTGTGGGCTCGACTCGGCAAATGCGAAAACCCCAAAGCTGATGTACAACGTCACAGCTTACAGGGCCGGACTGTAGTGAAAGCCTGCTGCAGCGGAACAGGCGCATCACGTAGTCAGAGTGATGTCACTTCTCAATCTCTTCCAGCGACAGCAACTCGACCGCCGCGTCCCTCCCGCCGCCCCACAAGAGCCCCCCACTATTA